GACCTCTAGGCCCCACATACCGTGTCCCAGGCAAGGAAGGCTCCTCTCCCCAAGGCCAGGTTGGTCATAAGCTTGATGGCCAAGCGGGTACAGCTCTCCCCAGTCATCACCTTGCAGTAGCCATGGGTTCGGGCTACATGCACAATCAGATGGGTCCTATGACGGGGTGAATTACAGAAGCTGGAGCTGGAGTCCTACAAGCCAGGCAGGGCTAGGGGTGCTGCACTCACCTCAGGGTCTGCAGAAGTTCCTCTTTGGCTGTCAGCGTCTTTATGGAACTGAACAACCTAGACAAGGCCTCTGTCTGAGCAGCTGTGGGGAACCCAGCCATGCCTAGGGGTTCCTGGCTGTGGGATGGGTGTGACTGATCCTCCCCCTGAGCTGGGCTGGCACAGCCCTCAGACCCTAGCGCATGCTGCTGCTGCAGGAAGCTGTCCACAGCCGTTTTGTAGGCCTCCTCTGTCCCTGCGGGCTCTTGGGAAGCACTGCACAGCACCGATGGTGGCAAGCTGAACACCTTTCAGGATGTAAGAATGGACATTGATGCCAAGGCCATGCCTGCCCTCTGAAACAGTTGGAAAGCCAAGGCCCAGGGCAAGAGGCCCACAGGATGGCTCCAATAAGCAAGAATGTGGCCCTGATGGGTGTCCCCTCCAAGGTTACCATAGGTCACCACCTGGGGCAGACCCACCTACCTCCTCTAAGGCAACTACATGCCACGGAAAGCCAGTGTTCTGCAGGATCAGCTTCACCTCAGCCAAGGTCTTCACCCTGTCCTGTAGGCTCTGGCCACAGGCTGCTCCCTCTGTAAAACCCAGGTGGGAAGTATGTAGGATTCACAGAGGAAGTGCCTGATGGAACAGGCTGAGGTGGTCAGTGCCACACACAGAAGTCCCACCAGCTCTACTCTTCAGAGATTTTGTTTGCTTGAATTTTGAGATAGGGTTTTTCTATGACTTTTGGAATCTGTCCTGAAACTCACTCTGTAGACCAGGCTGGCCTAGAACTCACAGAGATCTACTTGCCTCTGCCTCCAGAGTGCTGGGATTAAAGGCGTGCACCACTACCACCTGGCCAGAGTAAGTTTCAGTAAGGGCAGGACTGGCTCCCCTCAAAGCTAAAGAATCTGCCTAGTCTTTCAGCCACAAAGATCAGTTTTAAACTCATCTTCTTCAATCCCTGGGCCCTTCAATAGAGCTGGGAAGGCACCTCTGTCCCCAGTGTGTCCCCTGAAGGGGCTGTTGTGGTTCACCAATCATTGTTGGGGTCTGAATGGAGGAGTGGCCCAACATACCATCAACATAGATGACTCCTGGCACAAAGCGTAGCCGTTTTGCAGAATCCTGACTCAGACCCTGGAAGAAAAGTGTCAGGACTCAGGTCTGGCCAAAAGCATTTCTCTGGACTTCAGACTCTCCAGACAGTGGACAAAACTGCCTGGGTCTCCCCTCGGAGGGGTGTGTATGGGCCAAGTCTTCTTCCCACAGGAGAATGTTTGGGTCTGTCTTCCTTCCTACAAATGGATCAATGGGTCTGGGTCTTCCTTCCCCACAGGAGAAGGAAGTGGTTAAGTCTTCCCTCCCATATGAGAGTATGCCCTGTCGGTATCAGAAACTTCAGAACCCACCCTCTCTAGTCTGTTTCTGACACCTACGCAGCCTGAGAAAATCAGCTGGACCATGGGGCGGTGTGGGTACCGTACCACCTGCTGGGCACCTCAGAACCCTCGGGAAATGTTTGGTAGGTAAGAACAGAGGAGACAGCCCATGGAAGGCAGGGGCAGAGAAGAGTTCCGAGGGGAGCGGGTCAGGCACTGACAAATGGCTTCATGGTGAGCTCCTCCACATGTACAGCTTTAGGGGAGCAGCAGGTACGACAAAATCCCCAGAACTATAGGGTGTTCCCAATGGAGCAGTACTGTCACTTAGGTCAGACCGCTGACTCCTATCAACCACAGCCTCGACTCTTTTGCTTCTCTCTAGTTGGTGCCCCATGGTGAACGGAGCATGCGGGTCCCTCTTCTGTGCCAAGACCCCTCAAGGAAACCCTGCATGCCCTCAGCAGTGCCAGGCATTCTCAGCTCGAGTTCCCATTCTCTCTGCCTCACCCTCTTCCACCTAGGCCACCTCTCCCTGTCTTTGGCAAATACTTCTCTCCACCCACAAGTCACAATTGGTCAAACTTGGATACTATCAAGTAAAGCTAAATGGGGATATACCTGGGGACCCTGATGAATAAATGTACAATCCTACAGGTGTCCCATCTGGGGTGGGGGGTTCTGTCTAGTGTCAGCCAAAGTGCAGGCTGAGGAAAGAGGCCCCTGTTAATTCAATCCAGAAACTCAGGCCCAGGGGATGGTGTGGACATACCTCAAGGACTTGCCAGACCATGGAGCTGGATGAAGGCCCCCCAGACCACGCCAACAGCACCTGGGGTGGGGAGAGAGGATCAGCAAGGACATGCATCTCCAACGCAAGCAAGTCTGCTTCATTCTTAAACAGCCCCAGACACCAAGTCTACCCTCAAGGTCCAGAGACAGCAGGCCAGCTGAAGAAAGGCACATATAGGAAGGAAGCAGGGGCTGACAGCCAAGCACTCCCCACGAGTACCTTCTCGCCAGGAAAGATGAGTCGGTTCTTCCCAAGCATGGCTCTGAACTTATGAACATAGAATGCCTTGAAACAATCCCTGTAACAGACACAGAGAGAGGCTGTTCCGCACCCGCCCACCAGCCCAAGACCCTGTGGGTGGTACTGTCCCTCTTTTGGCAGTATCCACCCTTAGAGGCAGACACTCTGTCAGAGCCTGGTGGGGGAGTTGGATGGAGGAGCTGTCCTGGCTATGACTCTCAGGGCACCACCCAGATCCCATCATATGTGAGCTGAGAAGCCCCACGGGTGCTTGGAAGGACTCAGCAAAGAGAAAGGCTGAGCTGGGACTAGAGCAGGGGGAGTCACCAAAGTCTTTCAATAACAAGTGTTGATCTATGGATGATGTCCCAACAGACAGAAGGGCTGCTTCTCTGAGACTCAGACCCCTGCTGGACCAAGCAGCCCAAATATTCCTAAGTTGTTGGTTACATCAGTACCTACCTTGCCCAGGTTACAATTACTGGTAACACTACCTTTTCTTTCAAATCTGGGCTCCCAAAACATGGTGGGTGACAAGAAAGGTTCTGGAAATCAGTTTCTGCCCCTCCACCAGAATCTTTTGTAGAAAATCTTTGAAAAACAGACTCAGAGATCCAAAGGACCTTAGACATGTGAAATCCTCATCCACTCAACAAGCATACATTATACAAAGCTACTGCTAATACCACTAGGTATTAGAGAGATAACACTGGAGATACATGTTCCTGCCCTCGGGGAGCTATAGTTCTTGGTAAAAGAGTCGAACATGAAAAGTGATAATTCAAAAGAAGTATGAGGAACCCATTAAAGTTACAGATAAAATATGAATCCTCCTGCTGTGACCCCCATGGGAATAATCTCTTGTTCTCCTTCCAAGTCTGTGTGGCCATCAAATAAAACAGATATCCCATAGCCGGGTGGTGGTGGCGCACACCTTTAATCCCAGCACTCAGGAGGCAGGTGCAGGTAGATCTCTGTGAGTTTGAGGCCAGCCTGGTCTACAAGAGTGAGTTCCATGACAGCTAGAACTGTTACACAGAAAAACCCTCTCTCAAAAAAACACAACAAAACAAAAAAGCAAAAACAAAAATAGGTATCCTGTGAAAAAAGGAACAGTTTCCACCCAGAGTACCTGCCCAAGTTCCCAAGATGTTCTGATCTGACATGGACGAATTCCAAGTGCCCGAAAAGCCTGTCTTTCAACGCACCTTTTCCCTCGAGTCTGGGCACTCCACAAGCTTCCCCAGAGATCTTCCTACCACTAGGCCCATCAAGGAAATTTGTGGGATTCTGTTTGACAGGATTTCTCTGCAGCCCAAGCTGGCCTCGAATCTGAGGTAATTCTCCTATCACGGAATCCCTAGTGTTGGAAATACAGGCGTGAGCCTAGTTTAGATGACAAGAGTGGTTACCAATGGCTCCCACCACTACCTGTGGTCCTGGTCAATGTGACAAGCACGTACAACGTAACCGTCCCCTTACAAGGAAAGCAAGCCTGGAGAGAGGGGAGGGGGGCTGCCGTGATCTCACCTGCAGAAGGCGTCTCCCGCTCGTATCACCACCACCGGCAGGCCTTCCGCGCACTTTACACATTTCTGCTCCCGGCTGTGGAGAAAATAAGAACATCCATGGCAAATCCTCCCACCGCAGCGAACTTGGAGGAGCCAAAGTCTCGCTTCCCAGTCTGGCTCACACACCAGGGCCTACGCTTAGTTCCAGCTGCCGACTCCATCCCGGGTCGCTGCGACCCTAAGAGTGCGGGGACAGTCCCTGGCCCGGTACAGACGGCTCTTACCCCGGCCGTGGCACGGGCAGAGTCTCCCGCTGAGCCGACACCGCGTAGTCCTCACCGGCCTGACACATGGAGATGGTGGGCTGGTCCGCAGTAGTGAAGAGCCGGCGCGCCAAGATGACGTTGGCGCACAGCCGACACAGTCGTGACGCAACACGGGG